TTATTTAAATAAACAATATTGAAAGAATAATCTGTGACTAGTATCGTTAAAATTATAATGTCGAATTATTGACGAGTAGTAGCTTTTATATGTCGAAAGTTAATCGATTGGTATATTAACGAGTGGCTGCTTTATATATTGAATATTAGTCGATTGTCGTATCGAATTATTAACGAGTGGCAGCTTTTATATACCGAATATTGATCGATTGACATAACGAAATATTTACAAGTGGCTGCTTTATATATTGAATGTTGGTCGATTGTCATATCGAATGATTAACGAGTGGCAGCTTTTATATGCCGAATATTAGTTGATTGGCATAACGAAATATTTACGAGTGGATCTTTATATGTCGAATGTTAGTCGATTGTCGAATCGAATTATTAATGAGTAGTAGCTTTTATATGCCGAATATTAATCAATTGGTATATCGAATTATTAATGAATATCCACTTTTAAACATCACCGAATTTGGTCGATTACCGAATGCTTTACGATTTTCATTCCAAATGTTTACCGAGTGTCATATGCTGAGTGATAGCCGAGTGGCAAATTTGTACCAAACTGCACTTATTCGGCTAACATTCGGCTAATATTTATCTACTAAAAAATCGTTAATTATTCAGCTAACTTTCGTACAACTATTATTATAACGAATGGCACAATTTTGACCAGTGTAAGCTAGGTAAATTTGTAAAATAAGTACAGACTACTCTAGTAGATTTGCTTCGAGGTTAACCAGCTCTGCAATACTAGTAATATGTCTGATATAATATATCTTAAGAGAACCTAAGCTATTCTGAATAAATGAATCTGTAATAAGCTAGCTAGCTTAAGCAGTTAGGTATTGTGGTGATATTAGGTTAGATTTGTATGGTTAATGAACAAAGTGATTAAATAGATAATTTACAGGTAAGTTACATATATAGCAGTATAGTGTAGAACTAATTAGATAGCCTAATGCCTGTGTAGCAAACTACTTAAAATAGACAATAACTAAAGTTGTATATGTAGCTTATTATACATTTTTCATATAGTTACAAACAGTAGAGATTATCAATGTATAATTCTGTTAACAATTCTAATAAAAATTCTTTCAGCAATATAAGCTGCTTTAACAACAAAAAAAAAAAATAATAATAAATCTAAATATATATAATAATATAAAAGTACTATAATTAAGAAATATCTAACTCTTTCTGATGATCATCAAAACCAAAACAACAAAACAACAAAATTTTTTTTCTTATGCTACTACCTAGTAAAACTACTTAAAGTGACTGACTATACGAGAAATAAGCTATAAAGCTATGATAAGCTAGTAGCAAGAACTACAACAAGTCAGTTTTAAGGTTGTACTAAGCCCTTTGGCCGTCGAACTTTAGCAGAATAACTTTAAGTTAGTTTAGTAGAAAGGTATTAACAGTGAAAAGAAGAAATATAAGAAGGACTCCAACTATGCTTATACCAGGTCAAATATATAACTACTCTTCAGTTTTGTTTTTTTTGAAGAACTGTTTTCTTTATTTACAATAACTAGACTTTTGGATTTGGAATTGTTTCTCTTTGTTTCTCAATAGCAAAAAGTAGGATTTGGCTTACCTTTGCTAAAAGATCTATATTTGTACTATGTCTATTTTAGAAAAATCACATTATATGCTACCAAATAACAACAACTCGCAAATACATATAGCTATATACTATAAGTTAACATTTGTTGACATTTTTGTTAAAGAGTTATGTGAAGCTATGCTCTGTTGAATAAGTAAGGAATAGACTTGATAGAATTAGTTGATACTACAGAGATATATACATTGTTACAAGTGTCAGCCTTCTTAATTCAATACAAGTAACATAAGATACGAAAGAGAGGCTCTCAACAGTGTCCAAGTAGAATATTACTTTACTGTGGCAGTTCGTTACAAAGTTAATGAAAGAGCAAAGATTATACTTTATTTAGAATACAATATCAATAATACAAGACTATCTATTAGTTTCTGTGCTAAGAGAATTCTAATATTAAGGAGATTGCAGAGATCAAACCTAAGTTGGGGCAAAGAGAAAAAGGAGGGTTTATATAGCTTTTATATTGATAGTAAGAATTGTAAGAATTGTAAGAATTGTAAGTTATACTAAAGTTATTCCTAAGGTAACTTAATAACTATCTGTCCTACAAATATAATTTATAGCTCGTTTGAAAGGTCTACTCGATCTGAGTTTAATAGTGCTATTTAAATCTATTCTTAGCTAATAAGTTATCTGTAAAAGCAATAATAAAATACATTCAAGAAACTAACTATTTATAAAAATACTAATAATAAAATAATAAAATAAAATAAAATAATAAGATAAAATAATTAAAACTCATTTTATAACACTATAAACAATATTAATATATAGCATTAAAATAATCAAAGTTTTGAAATTTATTTTTACATTTTTTTTGTTCAACAATTGATAAAATCAGTTTTTTAAATATTAAAAATTTAAATAAAAATCAGATGATCAGATTATTTAATAAAAATAAAAATACAATCTAAATAGATAAATTTATATATAAATAAATAATTTTCTTTATTTTTTTAAATTAAAAAAATATCTGCTAAAAACTTTGAACAAGAAACTGAAAGTTCTCCTTGGAGAACAGTACATCTAACTTTTAAAGTTCTTGATCATTGGATATAGGGTATCAAAAAACCTTGTAGAACAAAAGTTTACAACCAAATTCAACTTGTTTCAATTGATAATATCATATATATTGAAGTTAAAACTCAATTAGAGAATATTATATTTCTAACTGATATTAAAAATTATAAACATGTTCGTTCTTATACATGGACTGCTTGTAAAAGTAAAAATAATTATTCATATTACATTTCAACAAAAATTAATAAAAATAATAAATATATAAATTTACAATTTTATAATTTAATTAAACCTGAATAGAAGATAATTGATCATATAAACAGAATTGGATTTGATAATAGAAATATTAATTTACAAGAAACAACTTATAGTCTAAATATGAAAAATTGTAAATTAAGTAAAAACAATACTTCAAATTTTAATGGTATTAGCTATTATAAAAAACAAAATAGTTGGAAATTTCAATATTCTGAAAATAAAAAATATAAAGCAAAATTATTTAAAAATAAAAAAGAAGATATCAAATTTAAATTAGCTTATGACAAAATCACTGGAAACAGAAATGGATATTCTTTATAAAATAATTTTATTTATTTATTTATATATAATTACATTTTTAATTTTTACATTTATTAAAAAAATTATTACATAAAAGACAATAAAATTATTTATCTTCATGATTATACAATATTTATTTTTATATAATCATGAAGATAAGCAATTTTAATTAACTATCAAAATTAACAAACTTCTTTAAAGCTTGTGATCTGATATTATTTGAATGTCACTGTCACTTTGGACGTAGAACTAAATTAAATCTAAATAAAATTTATATTTATATTTATAAAATATTTTTAAAAATAATAATCTTTTATTTTAAAAATAAGAAAATACTTTAAAATAAAATAAATTTTAATAATTTCCTTCTTGTAAAGATAAGAAAATGTTTTCTTCTTCAATATCAAAATTTTCAATTTTTTTAAGAAATTGTTTTTGTATTTCAAATAAGAAATTAGTTTTTTGATATGATTTTTGTTGAGATTTTAAAATTTTATTCATATTTTTGTTTTTAAATTTTGTCATTTTGTATAAAAAAATTTAATTAAAAGTAAATTTAATCATTTAAAAAAAAATCCAAACCAAGGTTTATATAAGAAATTATTACAAAGAATTTTAAATAATCATATGATACTGAGAATAAAACCAAATATAGTTATATAATTAAAGTTAACCAAAAAAGTATATATAAAGATTAAAAACTTGATAATCTAAAATTTTTTTTACTTTTTTTAAAATAATTTTAAAATTGTTTATAATTTTTTTATTGATATTACAAATAAGAATAACTGTTGAAATTTTTTGTATTATACTTGACCAAAAATATTCTATTGATCATTTAAAATATTGCAACAGGAAATTTTTTTTATATAAAAAATAATTTATTGGTTCAAAATAATTTAATCAATACAAATTTAAATAAATCATTTAGAAGTTTCTACATCGAAATTCTATTTTAAATTTATATAAATATAAATCTAAAATTATTCACAAACATTACAAACTTTTCTATATAAAACTAATATAAAAGTAAACAATCTTCAACCAACATGCCTTCTATTCTCAGAAAACTCTCTTTCAATATTAAAAAATATTTTTCAAAACTTTTATCAAACAAACAATACGAAAACCTAATTTACAAAATAGCAACTTCTACATCTCTAAGTTTTTCTTATCTTCATTTTTTTAATGAAGAATTCCAAGCAGATATAGCTGAACTGCTTAAAAAAGGGCCAACTGTTCATCGTGTTGTTGAAATCATAGTGCAAAATATTGATCTCTATTCAAATATGCTTGCAACTCATAAAATCAAACCTATAAGGTTTGATAAGAGACAAGTATTTAATATAGAAGTTTCTAATGAAGAAGAATAAGATAATCTAACTAGAGATGAATGGTTCAAAATAAAGGATTTTCTATTTTTTGCAGAAAAAAATTTTCAAACTTATAAATTTATATAATTGTATATATTTATATTTTTATTTTTATTTAATAAAATTTTATTTACTTTAATATATTAATCATTCTAAAAAATGTTTATACATAAAGTTCCAAAACTATAATTGATAGAGAGAAAATATTATACATGTTGTAATTATATTTATTATAATTATACAAATCCAAAAAAAAGTTTTGAATTCAAAAATTCTTGTAATGAGTTGATGAATTTATATGTCATATTCACCAACAGAGAAGTTCATCAAGAACAAACCTAAAAGAGAAAAGATAATAACAATAATAATAATGACTTTTGAAAGCATTTTTATATAGATTTTTTTTTTTTTTTTGTTATTAAGACCACTTCCTTGGCTGATTAGATTTTTATTAGTTTGTTATTTCAGAACTATTACATGAACAGTTCCTAAGCTTTTACAGTTACATGATGAGTGTACAACAAGCCACATGTACAACTTTAGTTATTGTCTAATTTAAGTAGTCCACCATACAGATGATCGACTATCTGTTGGTTCTACACTATGCTGCCATACTTGCAACCCACCTGTAAGTTACCTATTTAAACACTCTAATCATTAACTCTTCCCCACTATGACCAACCACTTATGCTAGCTGGTTCACACATGGATCCATTTCTCTGCATAGCTTAGATTCTCTCGGGATGTGTATACCCAACGTATTGTAAGCCGCAGAGCTCTAGTTAACCTCAGAAGTATTTCTTACCAGAGTAGTTATGTGCTCATTTCACAGATTCATCTGAATTAGATCCTTGTCGATATTCATACAAACCCAGTTCCTGCTGTGGCCATCCACCAAATATAGTTCTCTAAGTTCTAGCCAGATATTTCATAAGGTAGATCCTCCCAATCTAGTTAGCCACCAAGCCAAGTTGATGTTGCTACTAATGCAAAGTACCAGACTGCATTACATAGCAGATTTACTTGCACCTATCGATCTCACATCCTTCATACTTAGGTTTTTTATTAGATCAGACATTAACTGGCTTGACTGTTGAAATTTATACTACTTCACCAAACTCAGGATTTCTACCATGCAGGTTCCCTGCTCATAGATCCTATCAAGATTTATTCGCATAACGTAACTTGAACATTGCATCATACTTCCAATGTCTGATTGATATTGGTGCAATGTGATTTACAGGGTTGTAACTCTCAGAAACAAGCAGAGTTTACTGTAAGTTAGGTACTTAGGTCTGGGTAATTATTCAAATTCATCAATAGTGGGATTTGAACTCCAGACTTCTTGTATAGCAATCTGGCAATCTAACCACTACACTAAGATCACCAGACCTATTTTTATATAGATTTATTGATAAAGATTTAAAGAAGTTAAAGAAGTTTTAAGTTTTGATTTGAAAGTTTTAAAGTTTTGAAGTTGTAAAACGAGTAAATCATAATGAACAAGAGATAAAATTTCAACTTTTTTTATAACAAAATTTTTTCATATATTATTTTCTTAAATGTTTAATCTTTAATCCTTCATATCAATTAAAACAAATAAATTCTTATGCTTTATCAGAGTTGGTATAACAGAAATCAAAAGAATACTAAGTCTCAATCCTATTGATAACAAATTGATTACAAATCAATAAATACAAATTTATATAAATTAAAAAGTTATATAAAGATTAATTAATTTTATGATTATCAATTAAAAAATTACTTATATAATATCTAAATAAGAATAAAGAATTTTAGAATTTTTTAAAAAATTAAATATGCTAATCTTATTACAAATTTATAAATATGAATTACTTTTGTTTTATTTTGGTTAATTTAACTTTATCTTTATCTATTTTTTTTCTCGAAGATTTTATCATGACAAAAAAATCATAAAAAACATAAAGTTAGATCTTTTTTGGATCTGTACTATTACAGTATATATTATTATTATTACTATATTTTTTAGTATTATTATTATCTTTATAAAAGATTCTTTTTACGATTTATCTCAATATCAAAACAAAGTATTTGAACATTCTAAATCTAAATAAATTTTCTCAATTTTCTAACTATAGTTATAGTAAAGAATTGTAATTTTATTTTTTATTTTTTTATTTATTATTATTTATTATTTTTAAAATAAATTTATCTTTTTGAAAAAAATATAAATATAAATACCTTTTGTTATTATTTTTTTAATTAAAAATGCCAAAAGTTATAAAAGAAAAAATGTTAAAGACTAAAACTAAAAAAACTATATGTTCTATTTGTAGGTTTAAAAAAATAAAATGTATTTAATCAGAGGAAAATGAAGAAAAATGTGAATTTTGTTTTAAAAATAATCTTGATTGTTTAAAATATAAACTGTTTCTAATGGAAAATAAAATAAAAAGATTAAATATTGTTGTTAAAAATCATAAAAACAGAATTGAAAACCTTGAAAAACGAGTTCAATCTCTGAAAAAAGATAATTCTATAATTAAAAATAATCTTTTACAACAAAAATTACTTTTAAAACAATTAGATTTTCTTTTATCATAGTTTATTATATTATTCTATATTAGGAAGTATATAATTTATTTATTAATATTAAATTAAATTTTAAATATAAATATTCAAATTTTTTTCTCTTATTGAAATTGATGTCTTCCTTACTACCAGAAATAATTGAACAAATAACTCATTTTTATTCAGAATCATTATTTTTTAATGATCATTATAAAAGTATTGATTCAAAACAATATCCAAAAAGACTTATTGATAAAATGCGTTTTGTATCATATAATTTCAAATGATCATTTGAATATGTATTTAGAAAAATATATTTTGAATTCTATCATATAAATAAAGTTACTACTCTTTCTAAATTATTACTAAAATATATAAAATGATATGAAAGATATTTTGATCTAACAGTAAAAATGATTAATTTTTTAAACAAAAAGAATGTGAAGAATTATTTTTTTATGAATCAATTATTTTGAATACTATAATTGATTGTAATGATTCTATTGCAACTATATTTACTGATTTGTTTATAAAAATTGGTATCTTTAAAATTTTTTCTTTTGGTATAGATTTTACTCTTAGTAAAGAATATAATTGTTCTAGTTCTGATAGTAAATCTTGGTTGATTTTAAAGCAATCAAAAGATAAAAAATTTTCATATTATAAATGTGAAAGATGTCAATTTTATGAAATAGCAATTAATTATTCAAAAAGAAAATCTAAAATTAAATCTGTAAAAAGAAAAAGAGTTAAATTTTAATATAAATAT